AGAAGTAAGTGATCTATTCTCCACTCATTCCGTCGGAAATCAAATATCAATTCACATGATGTAAGCGAAGTGCTATTTTCCGGGACAATTTATTGTTGAGTACAAACGATGAGCAAATGCGAAGCCAGCCCGATCTTTTATTGCTACCATGCAAATTTTATAGCAAAATTATTGCTTATTTCTTTAGAAAATTAATTTCATTCATTGCTATTCCAGTGATTGAACACAACAATATCTGCATTGTAGAAGTAAAAAACGGGTTGGTTTTGTGACCCATAATGAGGTTCTTTTCGGCATTTGTTGATCAGTGTAACCCTATACTTCAATCTTTTTTCTTTTAACCATTCACTTACATGAAAAGATGGCAACTCTGCATGTCTTTTTGTTGCTTATGCTGATGGTGACTTCGTCAGTTCTGCCAGAAACATAGGCTATCCACAACAGCAAATCAACATTTAAAGGTTTAAAAGACGAAGATTACAAAGGCGGGCGATGCTATCAGCTGATTGTTGGCGTAGTGAATGCGATCTCTTATACTTTATAGCAGGGGCGGATCTAGGATTTTTCAAACATCAGTCATAAAACGTCGGAGGCGCTCCGCACCTGGGGGGTCTGAGGCATTCTCCTTGAATTTCAGAGCCTTAAAAATGCCATTTTCAGCGTTTTCGAGCAATACAAAAAGTATTTTGTGGGCATCGTTTTTTGCGTAAAAAACAACATTTTGCTTACGTTTTTTCAAAAATATTAAGTGACCATTCTTGAATGTTTTGCCAAATATTTAGGCTCATTATCATGCAAATATATGGCTCATTGTCACTAGAACGTAATTTATTTTAAAATAATGCTATTCAAAACAGATATAGTGTTAAAAATTTCTACCAAGTTATCAGGCATAGACCCCCGTAGAGACCCCCATTCAAACCTCTATGTAATGAGTTAAGTTAGAAATTTGGTACTACAAGTGACAGCTCATAGATATAGAAAAGCTCAGACTTCAAACCATGCAAGTTTATTGTAACCCATCTCCCACATCAGTGCCAGCAAATTCACCTTTGAGAAAAAACTCAAAATTTTTTTCTGCCAAAGGTTAAGCAAAATTATCAGAGTGAAAATTTGCAATTAGGACAGCAATGCCATAAATGTTTATTAGGCATTTCACTTGACTATTATCTTCTGCAAGGTGTGCTATATAGCAATCACTAGTAGCATTGTATTATCAAATACAAACAGAATGTAACCAACATGTCTTTAATTATATAATTACATGAATGTTAAAATTGGTTCATGTGTCATGCTTACTGGTTATGATAAATATCTTTTCATATGATCAAAGCTCGTTTAAATGTAAATCTGAAATAATTTAGTTTAAATTATAATGATCATCAGAAAAATTACCTAGTGATCATGAAAAATACTTTGCTGTTTTGCCAAATTTCAAGGTTTATCTGCATACATAGGAAGACATTTTTGCTTTATAGAAAATGCTTTTCATACATCAATAGCCCTTTGGAACTTATTGCAAACAATCTGGTATGAGCCGTGGGTTAATACACCTTTACATCTCCACACGAGGTGTTCAGTTAGAAAAGGGGACAATATGTGACATGGGACAACATTTCATGTATGTGAAATACTCAGGTTTAATACCATTCCAGTCAAATTGTCAAAATAAAAAGCTTCATGGATCAGAAGACTCAAAATCACAGGTTATAGTAAACAGCTTCTCATGTAATCAATGTTAGTTTTCTCAAATCTTAAATAATATGTAGTATAACTGTCTAATGATTGAATGATGAATGATCATAAACTGAAAAGCCCCAAACATTTGTTTATGATAAAGTAAATAATAGTATGGCGCCTTATGGCTACAGATTTTTTGTCCATTGAAATATATTTGCAGGAATGCAGAATTTCGCTGCCATATAACGGTCACGATTTCCCAAGCACTAAAGAAATCATAGCTAAAAGTCCTTCGGCAACAACAATTTTAGAAGCATCAATTTGCTTACCATACGCCATATTAACATAAATTGCATCACACACTCGCATAAATTGACTTTGATATATTACATTCATGCATACACTTCAGTTGTCCTTTACTTACGATTTTGGATGTAAATTTCTGCTGATAAAACTCAAAACAATGTTGGCTTGCCTTTTAACATCAATGACTGAATTGTCGCTCGCAAGATCGTCTTTGCCAAGCATTTACAATTCATCCATAAATTTTTCGCCCTCTTGAAAAATTCACAGTTTGGACAGCAGCATTCATGTCAATATATGAATTTGCAAAAGATTTCCATAAATTCCATCTGATTGTAGTTTAGTTTCTATCATGCTTATAAAAATTACTATGAAACGATCAAACATTCAATTCAGACAGTGAGCTTGACTATATTAGTTCAGTTGGCTATCAGTCGAAATCCGTCAAACCAATCACAATAAAACAAAAATTCAAATGAACCAATTGTAAGATAGCAATTGGACTCCCTTATACGTCCGGCCCCCCCTATTATCAGTCGAGACCATTCCAGACTGTCCACTGATCTGGCCATTGACCAATAAAATAAGCGTTTTTGGCGTTTTTAGACTCCTTTATCCGTCGAACCAGTCGAGCCACCCCGCTTATCAGTCGGTTATTCCAGGTCAATTAAAATTCAACTGATCTGGTTACCAACGAGATATTCATTGGATTAGTTATTAGTTTTCAATAATAAATAAAGCTGGATTTTTATCACGAAGTAAATGCGATAATAAAGTAAAAATAATTAATGAATTTTTAATTAATATGAATAGGTAATTTTTGAATTTCAAACATCAGTCGCGCGACGGGTTTGACATACTCTAGATCCGCCACTGCTTTATAGCACCGTTTGAGAAATGTGTATTTTATGTGTGTTTGGCGTCATTCGTAGAAATTTTTGTTTTAAACATTAATTTCTGTTTATAAAACATTAGAAATGAAAACCTGTCACATATAATACGCGCAATTTGTTTAATTTATTTCTTTTTTTATTGTCTTTAAGTTTCCGCTTCTATTTCTGTATTACTGTTCATCATTACTACCGTCATTTATTGCGCATTTTGAAAAGAAATTAGCCAGGCATAGCAGAATATATGAATATGGTCCCCCCCCAATTAGCAATGGATTGACGCCAATGCTCCTAAATGGTGTTTGGATCTGCGGCAAGCCTTCCAAATGTATATGTATTTTTCTCAACGGATTTCTTATGAAATTCGTTATAATTTTGACGAGTATTTTAGAAGCGGAACTATGGTGCGTCAAAATAAATTAATGCATTCATTTTGGATATATTTACCTTTGCAGTTACAGAGGCGACATGATTAAAAAATTAGATTCTTTAGAAATTTAAAACCAATTCTTTGGTTTTGAAAGTATTTTGAATTTCAAATTGAGCATCTGTACTATACTTTAAATAACGCTATACATGGATCAGTAGACAAACGGTTTTATAAACATTTAGTTAAACGTATTTTTTGCTGCTGTATACATTTCCTTGAAAGGGATTCTGTGGGATCAAGTCTCACTTTTTTAGATATTTTTTTAACGACTTAATCGGTCGTTTCACGTTACGTCAAGGCCGCCATGTCGGTGGTCAAATACAAAAGAATATTTTATCAATGCTATTGTGGAAGCCAACGGTCGTAGGCGAGCTACTTTCTTAAGTAATTCGGTGAAGATTGGTTGCAAGAATACATGATTTTATTTGGAATTTAATGTACTAATAAATGATTAGATTAAAGTTCACATGAAGGTTTGTACACTGTTACAAGTGAATTTTCATAAAGAAAAAGCTTTTGTCCTTAGATATTTGACAAACAATTGCCAACTTACGTGGTTTCTGCTTAGACAAAGTAGATGTTCGTAGAGTTTATTTTATATTGTTGTAAGTATTGAAATGTATCAGAATGAGTACATAAATTTAAGTATATAGCTAAGTTAAAACTTGAAAGACAGATATGCATAAGTATAACTGAGCATTGAACAATTTTACAACATAAAGGGTGAACTTCACATATTCTCTGACACAACGACAAATATCCGTTTCCCAATTACGTGTAAGTTTGTTGGTTTTAGTGTGAAACATTCGCTCCCTGCTTGCTGGAGCTAATAGTATCGCAAACTGCGACACTTACAGTCAAAATAAATTTTACTTTTCTAGGATATAAACTATTTCTACATTGTAAGTTACAATAAATAGATTTCAAGAACGGCGTTGAGCAATTACATGACGCTCTTCCTGTGAATTCGATATCAGCTCACTGTATCAGCTGTACGAGTACATTCATCGAACGTTCGTGTTTCAAAACAGGAGACATATTTATATTATCCCAAGCTAACTCCACGGACATGGGAATATGAAGATTAATAATTAGGGATTCTGCATATTCACAAAAGAATGATATCAGTGTTGGCTCGTTTGTAATCCATTGTTTTCAACACATTATAGCATGCATAAACGAATATGAGTTGAGCTTCAACAATTGTCGATCTTCCTACGCCCAATGCCACACACAGACAAAAGTCTGCATTTTAAAAATCATCGACACTTGTTGAATTTAAGCCTTCTTTCTTGAAGAGAAACGAGAGCATGTTCAGGAAATGAATTAATATCACTGTTTTGGCTAATTTGTAGGAAACAAAAGTTTTTGTTAGATCTCCACCTATCCGCTTTTATTGTTTCAGGTGATTTTTCCAAAAAAGCGACGTCTACATGAAGGTTTAATTTAATACAAACTCAATTAAGCAAAATTGAAGTAAATTGCTCTGTATAATGCAAAATGCAAGCAAAAATCGGAAATTAATGAATAGGATTTACAGTAAACTATGTCCGACTAATTAAAATTTAATGAACGATATATGTAGTATTTTCTGATTGACGATTTGCTTCAGTTGCATCACTTTATTTCCGCTCCTGTCGGGGTCAACGCGTGTTCCATTTTGGATGTCCAGAAAACGCAAGAAAACGGATGATTACGTGAAATTAAAGATACAATCGGATAAACAATAGAAATGCTTTTGCTGATGTTGACGTATTCCGTTCCTTCCTATAGAGGATATAAATATGCTTGAATTTAGAATTAGCGCTACTATATCATATTATTCGTTATTCCTTTAAAAGACAAGCCGTAAAAGTTAGTGAAGATTTCTATTAATAAACATCATGTATACCCTTCAAACGACATTTCATGTGATCACCTTTGTGTTGAGTTACAAGTCTTATAAAGGTTTGTAAAGATAGTGTAGTTCTGACCAGTTTAACAAGATTAATCAACACTTGCGATGTCAATGACCGTGCATTGACTGACGTCTGTTTAATTTTGGTCTTCAATTGAATATACACAATGATTAATGTTTGTATGTTTAATGTTTGATTATTTAATTTAACATTTAATAATACATAACAAAATATGTACCTGCTAATTTATAATGTGAATTACATTTAATTACTATGAATCAAATTAATGAGACGCATATTCATTGAAATACTGTTACAAACCTATTAAGAACATTTTCTACCATTAAATGGAGAAGTGATAAAATTTTAAATTTCGATAAAAATTAACAAAACATGAACAACTATTTTGTTTTTCCTTATCCAAAGTATTACTGAATGCGTTATTAGGTCTATGAGTGCTTCATAAAGCTATAAATGTTTTTGCTTATGTTTTAGTCTTTAGTAAGTGTTATGTTTTCGATTCCTCTAGATGAGCGTGCCAGTTATTATTTTTAGGAAGGAGCAGTCGGTACACTTTGAATTTTTTACAGCCTTATAGAGTTCACCTTTACCTCGATTTACAAGCAAATATTGCACAACTACATGGCCTAGTCTGCCTTATAGTTTGTTGAGTGGGAGGCTTCTGATCCTCGCCTTCCTTTACTGATACGCCCTATCCTCTATATTGATTCAGTGAAGACGTAGTGAAAAATGAAACACTATTTTGAGATGAAACCGAGGAGGATTGTAGATATTCAAAATAAAATTTGATTGCCATAAATGTTCATTTGTTTTTCACAGCCTTCGATAACGACGCGTAGACGTCGTTCGGAATTTGTTGCTTATGACAACCTATCATGAGAATGAACAGCTACATAATTACACAAGCAGAGCAGGTTTTGATCTTTTGTTGAGCAAAGGCTTTAAAAGAAAGAGATGAACTAGTCCTAACTTTATGGGAGAGATAATGATTGACAAATATTGAACATTTATAAATGTTCTTGTATTGGACAAAGATTTCTTTGAAATTCACACACTCAAAGAAGAATGAAATCCAAACAATACTTTTTACTAGCATTGTGATATCGAGGACACACTATTTCATTTGGATTTTTACGTCATTTTTTTAGCTTCTTCGCATGATATGTCCACAAAAGAAAGGTTAGAATGTGGAAGCAAAATTACAAAGGAAAATGTCTATCCACGAACATGCCGCTTTAATAAAACAAGAAAGCCTTATTGTTATGTTTTCAAAGAAGGTATGGAGATGACCTCTCGTTTTCGGGAATTTGAGAAATGCTGTTAGTTAACATGAACCACATTCGATGCTTGATGAAATCATTTTGGGTCCAATTTACTGCCTCGCGCAATTTAGTATAGTCCTTAATATTTATTTAAAGAAAGATATCGGAAGTCAAACTTGCTTGATGTCTCCTCATCCGACAGCAACGCATTTTCACTTTTCCGTTTTTAAGATGGAACATAATTAATGACGTAACAAAACGCAAATGGTGAGAACTATAATTCTAAGTGTTTGTTACTTTGCTAGATGATGAAACTCATTTACGATTCATCAAACAAGGATTTAAATTTTTCAAAAAGAACGTACATATAAAAAGCTAGCCGTTAAGATCATTTTCTCGCCTCGCTTTTAAAAGACTTGACGCTGCATGCTATTGCTAATATGGGAAAACTGACCCTTTTCATTTAAAAAGCCAACAAGAAGAGCTTGGTTTATCTTGATATGAAACTACTTCGAATCATCAAAGTCAAAGAAGAAAGTTTTGCGTAATGACTATTTTGAATGGTTCATTAATACCATTTATGACTTAAAATGTTATTAATACGATTAATACCATTTTAAGTTATATATAAACGGCTATAGTGTGAAAAATAACAATGCCCTCTTTGCCCACCGCACTGTGTTCTGCTAAAACAATAATTAATTCATGGACGTCGTCGAGGGAACATTGTCTCAAAAGGATTGACAAAATCCCAGAGTGATGAATGCAAAATATTACAAAGGGTACTTTCAAACTTTCATAACATCAAACCTCTTTTAAATAACATCTTATTAGATTATGGACCAATTCAACACGCCAATGGACTGTGCATAAATCTAAAAGATGGCTCTGATCAACTTATTTGGTCACGTGACTGCTCATCGGCAAGTGCGTTGTTCCTAATGTCACATCACTATCCACCATATCATGTGATCACAGGAAAATGTGTGATACCGAATACGTGAGTTGCTTTGTTGTTAAAAACTGCCTTTAGGGTGAAATTAAGAAGAGTGCTATAGTCGTGAGCATCATTAAGTTTAGTGTTTTTTTACACTTTAGTCCTCTTTAATCGTCTTTGTTAACTTCGCATCTGATGTTTAGCCATTGCTGCTTTAGGCAGACCAAATGCTGAAGTTTTTTCTTTTCCCCCATGAGGCTGGAGGCGAGATTGTCTGATCCGAAAAATGCTGATCTTACAGTGAGAAGAAGCAAGTATTGTGGCCGACCAATAGGAAGCTATCGACCTTCTGACAACGGAAATTTGAAATACCATCATTCAAACACGGCATATGAAATTTGTATAGGTAGTTCTACCGCAGGCAGAAATGAATGGAAACCTAGAGAAAACGAAAAGGTGACAATACGAAAGAATATCTGTCAAGAGAACAACTCTTGCAAGTTCAATTACGGTACGTTTTGTGACGCCCAAATAGTTGGTGGGGGATAATCTGATGATCTGAAATTTTTCTGATTAAAGATAATAATCAGCGAAAATGATGCCTAGATGCTTGAATATTGTGGAATAATATCTCCATGATTTAAAATGATAAATCTATCTTTGTCCAACATTTGAGTTTCGTATATTTAAGGAAACGCAGTGCTAACAAAGTTTAGCTACCATCTTTACTAAGCAAGTCATACATTGAACCTTAATCTTTAACATAAAAAACATTTGTTAGTCGAATGTTTGTTGCGTTGCCTTTATCTATAATATTACTTAGTGTTTGTTTTTCCAAACTATAAAATTGGGTGATGTCTATGAGCGACTGAACGCATACACCAATTTGTTCGTTTATCATGCAACTGCAGGTCACATGGAAGAAAAAGATATTTTCTTGCTTAATTTGCTATGAATTTCCTAAAACTGCGAAACAATATAATCGCTAACTCTTCCATTGACTTTTTGACATGTTTAGACTTACGGTTCATACATAATTTAGTATAATTGAATAACTTTGCTCTTTCCTCGTTGTAGTCTACGAAAAAAGGTTCGAGGCAAATTCTATATTGGATATTAAGTGTAGCACAGAATGCTCCCACTCTCTCCTCAAAGTGCGCTCAGCAGAATACGGAATTTTAATGAGGGATAAGCCGTACAAAGTTTACATGCGTGGAGATAGAAACTGTTTGTCTTCAACAGCTTTGGATGTTGTAAAACGGAAATGCAATGGAACCACCGATTGCTCATTTACTGTTCAAAAAGAAGACTTCTTGTCTAACTCACAACGATGCTCTCAAATGACATTTTTAGTTGTTCGCTACAGTTGCGAATGGTCAGGTACGCTTTTCTTTTATATGTATCTTTTGCGAATATCTACTTCACTCAAAAAAGAGCCAGTTTATTTTCACGTGGTTAAAATACTAATATCTGGATAGTAGATATTATCCACGTATTTTGATTGAAAAGCATACATAATGTGAGAAGAGAAGCGGTCTGGGTGAATCAGAATACATTTAAAATATATTTGGAAGTTCAAATTAGCTTATAAGCAATCCTATTGGTCAAATTTTGTCTTTAAATTATTCTTTACAAATATTTATCCAAAAGAATGATTGATTTTAAAATGAGACGCTGTAATGTATTCTGATTTACACCACATACGCAACTGGTTTATGGCACTTAGAGCTGGCAGCATGGTTTTAATTGAAGAATATTGCAACATTTAGTGTAAGCATGGCATTAACGAGTTTCTTTGGGAATACAGTTTTCATTGTTTTTTAAACAGATATGGCTCATATAGAAGAATTAGAAATGTTAGCCAAAAACAAATGAAAATTCATTGGTGGATTCCACCCAAATACGCTACTGAAATTTATAAAATATGCTGGGCCATGGTTGATAAGCCCCTGGATAAAACGTGTGAGGATATTGAAACAACGCAAAGTCCATATGGAAACACCATCATTTCCGGATTATTACCATCGACAGAATACGAGTTTACCATGATGAGATACACCGACAGTCGTAATTCAAATCCAATTTTTGGCACGACTACTTCAGGTGAAATCCTTTCGTGAGTAATATAACTTGTTGAGACTTGTTTTGAATCTCAAACTTTTACGTAGTAGAATACTTTAACGGTTAAAGGGAATGAGTTTGACATCATGACTTATTTCTACAAAAAAATTATCGCTTTTTGCCATCTCACGGAGTTTTTTACAACTCTATATGATGTATATAACTAAAGACAAATAGGCCATTTGTTAAAATTTCTATCCTGATCCCAATGCTAAGTCCACTTGTTCATTCCTGTGAAAATTTCCCTGTTAGAAGTTATTTTTCATCCCCAGAAACAGAAAGAGAAGCTTTTGGTTGTGTAATACATGCATGTAGCTAACAATATTACAGCAGTGGGCGGGGCCGTCTCTAGAACGTTAATTAGGGGTGGTTGTTTTATTCATATATTTAGTTTTGCCCGAATGATTCATTTGAATTAAATTCAATGAAGGTATTAAGCAATCATATATTCAAAAAAATCAGTCGGGCATATCCGAATACATGAGTAAACAGCCCACCCCCATTACTGTTCTAGGGAAGGCTCTGCCAGTGGGCATAACATGTCACAATACCTCAATTTCTACAAGTCTTCTTGTTTTGATATACCCCGTATAAGACGGTGAAAGACTGTGCTTTAACAAATTATGGTTTTTGAACTCATTTTCAGCCTTATTTTTGGCTTCTTGAATTTACATTTAAGACTTTCAAAGATGTGACTTTTATAATTTTTTTTCCAACAATCGATTTTAGCTAAGAATGTCATTCTTTTATATTAGATACAAAATAAACACCATCAGAGTAACTGACTGACAATTTGGTAATTTTTTATTTAGCTCCTGTCATTTTTACTGGAAGAAAATCGGAAGAATCGTTTGACATTCAACTAGGTCAACCCCAAAGCAATGATTTGTAAGCAAAATAATTTTGATTCATAGAGTTGAAATATTCAACTTCCTTCATGCGTTTATTTCTAATCACAGGTATTAAACTGGAGTATTTTAAGACTTAAGTTCGACAGGAACGCTCCCGATGAAGGCTGTAGAATACAGAAAATAACAAGTTGGATAACTTGTTAAGAACACTATAGACGGTAGTATTTGAGTGTTCAACCCCACATCTGTTCATGATTGAAAAGATCATACTCAAGTTTCAACGTAAATCACTTACGTATCAGGAAAACTGAACGCAAAGCTTGTAAATTGTAGCAGAACGTCGATCTGCCAAACTACGAATTAAGTTTAGAGACAATCTATGTAAAATCTGAAGCCACATATTCAACTCTGCCAAAAAACATTAGTTACCTTTATATAGATGTGGGCAGAAACTCACGAGAAATACCTACCGTTTTGATTTATGTTTTCAGGATTTTTGGTTTCCCATCTAGATACATTCAAGTTATTGTGTTAAAGCTGAAGTGCAGTGCTAAACCTTCAGTCATTCTCGGTGATGATATTGAAAGCTACAAACCAGAGAGTATTTTATACATAGCAGCCGAGATTGATGCCAGAGTTTTGGCTGATGAAAGTACATTTACTGTTGGCGATGGAAAGATATACCAAACCTCAAGAACCCAGGAGTCGTACGAAAATGTTAAACTGCAGCAGGATACCTGCTATTCTGTTGTTCGTAGATCGTTTAAACGAAGAGTAAGTAATCTGATCATTTTAAGCTGTTATTTTATTTAGTAAATATAAATAGGCGAAGCTCGTGCAGGTATAGAGTCCCTTACGAAAATGTCACATTTGATTTCATATATGAAATTGGAATTTCATATATGAAATAGACACATTTCATATGTGAAGTGTTGTAATTTCACATGAGTTTCAGATATCATTTCATATATGAAATCAAATGTGAAATTCTCGTAAGAGGAAACCATGAAAATTAATGATGAAACGTGCATTTCCTTATTGAAATGACATTTCGTTTGGGACTTTCATACCGCCGAAAGAAACTTATGTTTTTCTAATAAGTGACCCTTTCTGAAACTCTGAATAATTAAAAACTAAGAAGCAATGCCTTAATCAATAAAAGGAATAAGTCAATTCAGCACTTGAAATGTTCTAAGAATATGGTGCAGGCTTTGTTAACTAATTGAAAACTTGTGAGCATAGTTTGGCTTTCTTAGAAATCATTTAGCACGTGGTATAGATTAGGCATAAAACGTTACTTTACTTATATTCACATTGACATTTCAAAGTTGGCACTTTCGTATAAACAAGATGAAAGTATGTTGGATTTGGAGTTAATGTGTTACATTACTCATCACTAATATGAGACCTCCCTAATCATCGATCTTCCTACGCCCATGTCTCAAGCATCCCTTGTTTGCTTCCTTTAGAATAAGCACGACTCGAATTGGATGGATGTTATGAAGACAGATGCTCGTGTGGTCTCTACATCAGGTATATACATCATCTGCTCACAATACGAGAACATAGAACATTCAATTACAGCTTTTATTTAACAATGGCACTGGAGAAGGAACAATCAAGAGCACAATTCGACAATCAATAACATTTATTTATACCGCACAACAACCGGAAAGTAGCATTAGCGTGCATTTCTACTCTTCAAGTAGCATTAGCGTGCATTTCTACTCTTCAAGTAGCATTAGCGTGCATTTAATAATATCAAAGAAAGAATCATTTAGATAAAGCAGAAATTCCCTTAAAAAAAAGATGTTTACTGTGTTTGCACAGGCTTATGCAAACCGAGGAGAACTTTGGGAGAACTCGAGAGCAGACCAGTGCTAGCCCGATACCGAAGATTGCGGTTGCACCTGCTCGAGAGGTTGCACCGTATCCAAACCTTACTTAAGCCATTGCAAACACAAAAAACATCTTCTATTTCTTTTGTCAAATTAGAATAAGGCAAACAGACAAATTTCAAATAAAGTTTTAATTTTTCTTTGAAAATAAATTCATGACTGATTTGCCAATTTTCGTTGATTGATTGATTGATTGATTGATTGATTGATTTGATTGATTCATTCATTTGATTGGTTGAGCTCAGCTCGGTTTACACGGGCTAATGCAAAATTGAATGTACACTTTATCTAAATGATTCATTTTTTAAATTTGTGGAATGCACGCTGAAGCTACTTTGATATTCCCGATTGTTATGCAGTATAAGTAAATGCTATTGGCTGTCAACTAGTCCTCTCGATTGTACCTTCATGTTCATGAATATTCTACAGCGCTGTTTATTGGTATAGGTAATGGCATGGTTTCGAGTGCAATTTGGGAAAAACATGCACGAGTAAGTTTTTTAAAGACTATCAAAGACTATTTAAAGTCTTTGAAAAACTCACGAGTGCTTGTTTTCCAAATTGCACGAGAAACCATGCTATTACTTATTAATAGTATACGTGAAAAAAGTTTCTCAATTCTGTTGATTTTTAACGTCAGCGTACGTACATTTCAGCTGGCGAGTTTAACCATCGATCGACCGGCTCGTATTATTTAATTACGTTTGATATTACTTTTCACAACACCATAGCTTCCGCACACCCAGCAAGAACAAGATACCTACTTTTAGCAGTGTTGTTATTTTCATGCAGAAACACTTTGCAAACGGTGAACTGTAAACTCCTTCGCTAAAGAAAATCTACTTAAAACTTACGCCAGCCGTTGTAATTGCTTTGTTTACAATAATTTAACTTTCCCGCTTTTGAAATGCGTTATTTTGATTGGCTCTTACATTATTTCTTTGTTTGACTAACCAATCAGGAGCGCATTTTTTAAAATAAATTGCACTGTATTTCCTTTTTTTTTTGCTCTGTGTTTCCTATTTTTGCACTGGTATTTACAATAAATTGAACTCCACTTAACCAATCAGAATTGAGAAATTTTCTCATGTATATTATTATTAAGTGAAAACGTGTAACCGAAAGTTTTGTGTTCTATAATGATGAGCAAATTAATATCTTTTGCTCTCATTAAGTTGACGTAATGAAATAGAAGGAGGAAGCCTCATAAATGACAAGAGGAGCTGAATGATGTCTTATAAAAAACTGATGTACAATTTTTATAATAAATGTGAAAAGCCCAGCAGGGTGCTTTTAAAAGAACCCTCGAATACAAAAATTCTACAGACGTAACGTTTCGTCATAACTCACAAGACATTATCATTCATCATCTTTCATGTAATCTCCATATCCCACTTCATACCGACTGTTTGTAAGACAATATATTGCTGTTTTAGAAAGACATACTTTAATGTTGACTAAAAGACCGTGGTTCGTTGCCATTATGTCGTTTGTGCCAGGATTTCTCCTTGGGGCTCTTTTCATTTGGATTTTATTACGCCATCGCCAACTGTTGTCGACTAAAAAAAGCTTTCAGCCTAAATCCACTATGACGGAACTTACTAATGAAGAGCTGAATGTAACAAGAGAGTATAAAGAAAAAAATCGTCAGTCACTGACACGAGCCAATGCAAGGAGCCCACTTTATAAGGAATTAGACTTTTCTAAAATGAACATAGAAGATAATTACCAATCTTTGATAGCTAATCACGATTCGTTCTATTTGAATATGGACAGAGACGAGTCTTTGATCATGGCATCTTATCAAGGACTGGGACCATCAATAATGAACCAAAACGATGATTATCAATCGTTAACAGAAAATTTTGCTTTGAATTATGTGACTATTGGGAACGGAAGCGATGACTTAGTTGAGAAGAACTTAAATCCAACATCCGAACAGTTTTAATTAACTTAAGGAAAGCATTGTAGCTATATAAATTTATCGTTTTATCATCAGTCAAGACTGCTCAGTATTCATTGTGATATTTAGTTGATCAATTGAAGTTTGAAAAAAGCCTGAAAATGTAAAAATTGAAAATGCAAAAAAATACACGTAAGTAGTGTGAAACCACTCCTTGGAAGTGAAAGAATAAGGAAATTTTAAGGAAACTTGTTGGATGACACTCGAAATTTACATAAGGAAAAAGTCTTATCAAAATCATCAAAGATGGCATCAATGACGTAACTTGCCCAAAAAGAACACAGCATAAAATGCAACTTCATTTCTGTGTACGCTCTCGTAACAATGTGTTCATGTAAATAACTAACGATATTTATAAGATAAAAAATTAACATATTTATTTTTTATTTATTCAATAAAGTCAGCTTCCAAAGAGCTATATATGTTGTATCAGTGCAAGCACATTCCCAAGGCCGTAGCTAAACCATTAATTAAGAGGGGCTATTCATATATTTGTATTATGCTCAACTGATTCTTTGGATGGTGAATGGCTTCTAAGTGAGGCGAAATATAATATATGGATAGTCACCTCGCCACTCAATCAACGTTCTAGCTGCGGTCCTTCGTATTCTTGTAGCATTGCTTTCGCCGTACTATGCACAAGTTACCTAAGCAATGTTCGTATTATTTTGTTATATGCCTAATTATAGATTTTTTAGTTGTCTGTGTGAAATGCGCAACTTGTACATTAATTTGAGCAATGTGCAAGAGAATCGTGTAGTCATGAACATAGCTACACAAAAAACTGCGGAAACTCTCTACTATTTTCTTCGATTGAAACTGTAAATCAGCAATTGGCTCCAATTTGTTCGTCCAAGAGTATATGGCAAGAAAGATTGGGGTATTTGTGGAAGAAATTGAAAGTCTTTTAAAGATTGCAGAGCGTTATCCCCAATCAGCGTTTGCGGCGTTTTTTCATTGTATAATGGGAAAGTGGCGCTATATAATGCGAACAGTTGAGAACATCAGTGAGTTATTTCAACCTCTGGAAGATGCAATTTTGCAGACATTTATACCATCACTCACTGGAAGAAACCAATGCAATACAGATGAACGAACACTCCTTTCACTTCTTATACGATTTGGTGGTCTAAATATTATCAACCCAGTTAAAAGTGCAAATGAAGAATATCTTGCTTCTAAAAAGATCAGTCAATGCCTGAAAGAGGTGATTGTTCAACAGAAAGAGATACTTCATAAGCCTCAGTTACAGTCAATCAAAATGATTTTACGAGAGCAAAAGAAGAAGAAAGTTGATGATATGATCCAGGAAATAAGAGATAGTTTTACGCCAACAATGCAACGGAAGCTAGATATACTGAGCGAAAAAGGATCGTCATCATGGTTAAGTGTACTTCCATTACAAGATCAAGGCTTTAATTTGAACAAAGGGAATTTCGAGATGCATTAAGTTTACGTTATGGATGGCAATTGAAAAATACCCCTCAGCACTGCATTTGTGGAAAGGCTTTTGCAACCGATCACGCGATGATATGTCCTCGTGGTGGTTTACCAATAGTGAGACATAATGAAGTTCGAGATATAACAGAGCAGTGGATGGCAGAAGTTTGCTCGACAGTTGTGAAAGAGCCACAATTACAACCTCTTTCTGGGGAAGTGATATTACCTCGTACAGCCAATAGACAAGAAGAAGCGAGACTAGATATTCGTGCTAAAGGTTTTTGGTCTAGGCAGCAAGATGCATTTTTTGATGTAAGGGTATTTCACCCAAACGCATCGAGCTACCAAAACACCAATCTACCTGCACTCTATCGTCAGCATGAGATGGCTAAGAAAAAGGAATATGGTGATCGAGTAAGAGAGATTGAATATGCTGCTTTTACACCACTGGTCTTTTCAGCATCAGGTGGTATGGGGAAAGAGACTGCAATTTCTTATAAACGGCTAGCTGATCTGCTGGCACAAAAGAGAAAGCTGCAATATGGCATCACGCTAGCGTGGATGCGTTGTAAACTGTCTTTCCACTGATTAGGTCAGCAATTACTGCGATACGAGGAAGTCGATCTGCCTCAACTCGCGAACACACTTTAAATATTGACCAAGGTTATTGGGAAAGTTGTCTTTACACCTGACTGTCCCTTTTTTTTCTTTCTTTTTCTTTTTCAAGCTAGTAATTTGAAAATTATCATGGATATTTTAAACATTTATTTTAGTTAACATTTTTATATTTGTATGCTGTAGTTATAAAAGTTGTACCATTTTTATCATTAAATAAATTTACAGTTTCTTTACATTGAAACTGTAAAGAATACTACATACATTGCTTAACCTTTAGGCTTTTGAGCAGTTTGCGGGCTATCCGGCTCAGCATTAACTCGTTATTAGCTATGTATATTCTTTGACACGTCACATGGCCTTTTTTATTATCTCGGTCAACGAGAATCTCCGAAGCGTTAGTTGATTTTCGCAAAAAGAAATCGCAAACACGGAACACCGACAACTTTTCAAACATTCAAATGCCCCCGATAGATTTATGATATTACGTAATCAAATTATCAAAGATAGATATTCTTTGTGTAAAATAAACGACTGAAATTTCCAGGCTATTATTTGTTTGAAAATTTATTACACAGAATTTCTATAAGCTATTGCAATCACCACATGAAAAATCAAAAAAGAACCCAAGCGTGTTTAATTATATTATATGCTATCCATTAGTGCCACGATGACTTCAGTCTTGCTTGACTAAAATGCCCAATGTAAACCTTATAGAGAGGGTAGATGTTCTTCTTGTCCCAGGTAGGAAATAAGTCGCATATCCCATGCGCCAAGTTGATCAAGTCAGCGTTGTTTGTTGCATTCACACGAAACAGATGAAAGAAAAATCCCGTATTGTATTTTATACTCCATATAATCCGACCAACACTGTTTATAATGTTTGTATTAATTCATATTTGTGAAAAATTCTAGTCATTTTTCACTAAGGTCATGAAAATCCGCAAGTATTGCCATATTGATGATTTTAAGGAAGTCTTGTTTATAAACCTTACTCTTACGTGTTTGATCTGTTGATACGTAAGTTGATTCAACAAGATTACGAGGTTTCAGGTTTGTAGTAAAATCCTCTTAATGCAGTGGGGATAGACTGCTCATTCGATGACAGATCTGCATGGCAGAAACATGCGATATTTCAGCTTAAAACAGAAAAACTATATATTTTGCTTCCTCCGAGCCAAACAATAAAATTTCATTTTCTTCTAAATGATTTACAGAGTTCACGCCCATAGTTTATTTAATGGCTCAGAACGATTATTCTAACGTTAATTGGTCATATGTGAATAATGGACAACTTTTAACTTTGACAACTTTTGGACAACTTTTACAGTTTGAGGCGGACAGCAGACCTAAAAAATGCTAACTAACATCGATCAATCAGTGGCGTGCGGTGACCGAATTTAATAGGCAATCGCTGACAGTGATTCCACAATGCATTCAGTCATGTTGTACAGGTGTCGTAAAAATACCGAATGTAGAAGTAGAACATAAAAGGATGAAAATTCCTATGCTATATATTTTATAGGAACATCAATCTTATTTATACCTTACATCAGTTACATGATATCTACCGGATACAAATATCAAAACTACTACGCAAAGGGCTCTTGTCAATATCATAATCTTGTATTACATGCTACAGATAATATCTTCTACATACATAAATTGCAAGACAATAGGCGCGAAATGTATTGTAGCAGTCGTGATTATAACAATTAAGAACAGCCAGTTTCGCGCACAAAATTGGCACGGTGTGTTACAAACTGAGGCCATGGCGTTGTTTAATGTTTATATTTTGGTATAATGACGTCATGGCAACGTGTTCTCCCGTTCTTCAAAATGTGTCTGGCACTGACTCGTACGTTTCAGAATATCGGAGAGTCGTGTTTATTATTTAGTGTCTTGTACCTTTATTTTTAGTCATTAATTTACGAATTCAACGACACAAGACTGACAAGAGCATAGTGTTTTGGTCATAATGCTAGTCATACTTTACCACAACACACGTTTACGTGCATTTCGATATCTCTGCAGACTGCGGCCCCTGCCTGTTTACGCACATTGTGCGCAGAAAATAATAAATAACCAGTAAAGCACCTACTACTTTGAATTAGAAATCAGAACATTTCCTTTCGCTCTCAGTCATCTTTTAATAAACGATAACATTAACGGCGTGAATAATTCGGATGTCCAATGTGTTGAATATACGAATATTATTCGTGCGCTGATATGTGTTTAAAATTGCGAGCGTACAAGACTGTTGACCAATCGCTATCAAGCGGCGCCCTTAGAAGCGCCGCTTGCCTTTTCTCGATATTCCTCGAATAAGAAGCCTCCAAATCTAGATTAACGCATGCGCAAATGTTCAAATTGAGCTCCGAAGGCAAGCGCGCTTGCCTTGGTTAATAAATATTCGGTGTATTTAATCCACTTGACTCATCTTACAAGTGTAGCAAAGTGAAACCGAAAACCACGACAGTAAATCGCGTATAAATAGCAAGCATTTCAACTGTAAAGACAATTTAGACAAAAGATTACATTGACATTGTTTAGAACAGAAAAATTTAAACTGATTTTGCTCAGAGATTGATCCAAAAAATTTTTGTTCGGTAAAATGCTTAGGCAAGCGGCGCTTGCCTACGCTTGCATGACTGCACGCCACTGCGATCAATGCACTATAGGAGTGTTGGTGATAAACATATCAGTCATCGCAGTGATTAAATAAAAACATTGTAGCCACAGGATACCAGGGCAAAAAAATCCTCTTTTGAAATAAACAAGACAATGCAAGACAGCTTAGCAAAATATTAATATCGCTACGGGCCGTCTAAAAGCAATTCCTCGTTTGCCCCTTTTATGAATGTGTGATAATCATTCCAAAAATATGTTGGTCCTTCTACGTGGAAGAAAAAAAGACTCACAAGGGCACAATCAAACATTGAATACATATTTCTCCACTTTTAATAGCATAATTGGACATAGACTTACCAAGAAGCAGCTGCAAGTCACTCTTGCTTGCTGAGGAAGGCAATTACTTTGATCTGATCTTTAGAACAAGCAGGAGGCATTTTACATATCACATCGGCCATTTTTTTCTCGCACTGCTTGTCAGCCAAATTGGCTTGCTTCAGACGTTTATGATCGTGAACAATGATGTTGCTAATGCCAGTCGCATTCATCATATCTGCATTAATCATCGGTTCTGGAAAAAATACAAATTTTTGAAGATAGTTCATATCTAATTACAATAAAGAAAATCTTCAAATAAAATTTGTAGGAATTTGTAGCATTTCCACTTAAGTAAAAAGAATTCTCAAAAGTCAAAACTATTCTTAAATGATTACCTTATAATTTCTGGCACAC